AAGCGAAAGGGCTTTTTCCGCCGTCGCTCCAAAACGACAGACCAAAATGCCGCCGGCTCGGAAGCATCCAAATCTGACAACGAGGAGCGACCCATGGGCACGTTCATTGCCAAGTATCTTGGCTCCATTGGTGTTACTGAGAACACGGGTGCTCACGTTGTGCAAGGCGCTCTGGCCAGGTAGGCCCTTCACCTGGTGCCAACCATGAGGCGGGGGGTTTCCAGATCAGGGCGGCCAGAAACAAGAATGGGATTTGAACCACCCATCATGTTTGTCTCATCGCGATGGAGTTTGTCTCAGATTACAAGAAGAGCAGCTGGATAAGATGGCGGACAAGAAGAAGAAGAAGGTCAAGAAGCTCAAGGGTGATGCCGTTCTAATCGTGATTACTGTGGAAAACATCAAGCTGCACGATCGCCTCTCTGACACCATGCTTGAGAATCACTTTATTCGCGTGCGTGGTCGCTAGTCCAGCCCGCCGTGTCTCTGCTCGCTGATAAAGGCTGCTGCGTGTCACCTGGCTCGAACTGACTGCGTGTCCTGGCATGTTGCTGAACGGGCAGGATGTCACCTTCACGACGGCCGGAGTGCTTGACAAGCGTCGTGACCTGTTTGCCTTTATCACCACCGATCCTCGTATCAACCAGAAGGCTTGCCATTGTTTCGAACTCATCCGTGGCAAGGGTCAGGCCATCTGCCGTGTAGGTTTTTTCAAGGGCACAACGTGTGGTCCTCGTGTGAATCTGGCTTTGATATCTCACCTACATTCCTTTGGGGTGACGCAGGCTGTGGCACGCGCCTTTGATGAGTACGCCAAGACCTACAAGAGCACCGATGACGTATTCGCTGCCAAAGCTCCCGAAGTCGACTTGTCCGATGTGCCAATGGAGCTTCAGCTTTTGCAGGTTGGTCCGGCCTCAGGCTGCACTTGGCTTGGCTTGGCTTGGCTTGGTTCCGGTGCCTCGATTCTGCCCCACGCTGCTGTCTAGCACCTGCTGATGTTTTTTTTTTTTTTTTGGTTTGCTGGATTTTGCATCAACCCTGTTGCTCTAGGTGGATCGTTCAAGGCTGGAGCAGCTCAAGGTGCTGGGTGCAGGCATGTATGGCAAAGTCTTTCTGGCCGACGAAACACAAGAAGATGGCAGTGTTGTGCAGCGCGCCGTCAAGCTGCTTCGCAAGTCGTCCAAGGAGGATCAAAAGGTATGGTCAACACTTCACATGTCATTAAGGCTAGCCTTGAGTTCAAAGCTAGTTTTGATGAATGAGCTGGCATGGAAGACCATTCCCTGTCGCCGCCGCTGCTGCCCTGCCTGAATGACCCATGAACGCTTTGTCGACTCACAAAAGTTCAAACTGCTCGTCGTGGTAGGATGCCTTTGTGCGCGAGTGCCAGATCATGGCCGAGCTGCGACATGAGAATCTAGTGTCGATCGTCGGCGTGGCCGTCAAGGAGCGGCCGTGGCTGTGTGTGCTTGAATTTATGCAGTATGGCGATCTGGCCAAGGTGCTACAAACGGCGCGCCAGCGCAACTTTAAGCTTTTTCGAAATGAGACGCTACACCTCGCCTTGCAGCTGAGTCGCGGCATGGCCTTCATTGCCAGCAAGGTACCGTTGCGCTCAAAATGCCAAATTTGTACACACCCGCTCGCTCAACATTGGATATTATCTGTGCTTGGTGTAGCGTTATGTCCACCTGGACCTGGCGGCGCGCAATTGCCTACTTCACACCAGTGAGTCGCCCCTTGCTGCACGTTCACTTTTTTTGACGCCCGTCGACTCGTTTCAAAATCCTGGCTCACAACCCAAGTCATTTTGTAGATTCGCTGGTTAAGATTGCCGACTTTGGATTAGCGCGCCCATTGGACGAGGGCAAGGACTACTGGGTCATGCGCAAGTCCGCTCGTCTCGCTGTCAAGTGGTTGGTCCCGTTGTCCATGAGACGTGTAGCTAGCGTATGAGCATGGTTATAATGAAGCATGGCCTTTCTTTGATGCATCCTGGCCGTGTTGGTGCTGCCGCCGTAGGATTCCCCCGGACGCCCTCATGACCAAGCGTTTTGGCGAGCCAACAGACGTCTGGGCTTTCGGTGTCCTGCTGTGCGTTTGATTCGACTGATGATGTTCCATTGGGGTTGGGCGCACACGACTCACACATTGCCTGCTTTTCCTTTTGGCTGCTTGTTGTATTGATTTTTGCTTGACATGATGCTGCGCTCCGTTTCTCTTGATTAGCTGGGAGTTGTACAGCATGGGTGCAGTGCCTTATTCGGACGTAAGTTCACTATGCCCGGCCCAAGTTCACTGAGCCCATGAACACAGCAGCCTCACTCGCGTGTGTGTGTGATTGACGTTGGCGCATGCGTGAAGATGCCGGTGCCGGAGGTGCCTACGCGTGTGGGCAAGGGCTACCGCCTACCACAGCCCGACTTGTGTCCTGATGTGGCTTATGAACTCATGCTGGAGGTGCGTACTGGCCATGCGTCATCGGACATGCAAAATTCTTCAATGCCTGCACGCTCATGTTGTGGTTCTGTGGGCACCTCTGTCGATCCAGTGCTTTGCCGAAAAACCAGAGAATCGGCCGACCTTTGCACAGCTGTGTGTGCGTCTGGAAGCCCTGCTGGCCCAGGCCAGCCAGGGGAGTCCGCCCGTGCGCGACATTGGCGAGCTGCTGAACAACCGATTGTCCAAAGATATTCGTCGACTCTCTGTCAAAAAGCAGCGCGAAAGGTATGTTCACAGACATCTTAGGTTGAAGGCTTGCTTTTTGTTGCTTTGCATGCTGTTCCATAGTATCTCTGCTTTTCCCGTCCGACCGCCACAAAAAGGCCCGTTCGCTTCCATTCATCTCAATGCGCGTTATCGAATAGTGTGCGTCGCAAGTCGACCTCAGCCACGCGACTCCGCGCCATGGCCGAGGCGAACGAGGACTCTGCCTCGGCCGAGCCGGAGACGGCGACAGAAGCAGCCGTGACCAACCCGGAAGCAGCTGATCAAGAGGAAGATCTGCGTCGCCGGTCTTTTGTGGCTGACAGCAATGCGCGTCTGCGGTTGACCTCTTCCGTTCGCCGCAAAGGCGGGCGTCGGGCGCAGACCGCGTCGGCCGCTGCAGGCACGAGCCGCGCTGAATTTTTGGCGAAGCAAAGTCCCCCCACTGAAGCTGCAACTGAAGACTCGAGCGGCAACAGTGCTTCATCCTCCTTGGCATCATCCACAGATGGAGGTGACGGTGATCAACCCGAGATTACGATGGAGGGTATTCTCGTCGCGGCGGAAGAGCCTCTGGGCGACGATGAATTGGACGTCGAAGATGAGGCAGAGGGTGAAGGTGAGCAGGAGCCTGCTGATGAGGGCGAAGACGTGGACGCTGGCCTCGAGGCCGAGACCCCGGGCAGCGATGCTGGGTCAACTTCTGCTTCTCCAGAAAAGATGGAGGACGTTCCGGCGTCTTCTGCAGAAGTGGCGGAAGCCGCGCCAACAGCTGGCCCTGTCCTGCAGCTGGGCAACTTGGCGGCTTCCACGACGACTGATGAGGTCGAGGGCGAGCACACAGTTGAGGCGGCGCCAAGTGAGGACCCGAATTTGACGACTGGTGCCGTGGAAAGCGAGCACAGTGTTGATGTGCCCAAGCCACCTGCTGCTGTCGAGGCAGCGCCAAGTGAGGTCCCCAATTCGACAGTCGCCACCTCGTCTGCCACGGCCGAGCAGCGCAGCGTGAGTAAGCGGCTAGATGCTCGTCTGCGACCGGCAGTCCAAGTGGAATTTACAGAGGAGGAAAAGGCGCGATATCGGCGTCTAGGCCTGCTCTCAGATGAGGCAGATAAACCAGCCGAGGCAGAGCGCTCGCGCATCTACAACGCTCTGAATCCACAACGCCTGTACGCGGAGCAACAGGCCAGCTCAGTAAGCATGTGCCAAAGCGAGCGCTCTGGATGTTGGAATCGTGACCTCACACACTCACTTGCTTTGTTTAGGGGTCTGTGTGGGCCTCTGCAGGCGGTCGTTCCCTGGCCGCAACAGCAGCAGCATCGGATGACGTTGCCGCACTAGAGGATCAAAATACGGAGCCGTTACCTGAGGATGAGGACGAGGATGCCCTGGACGATGAGTTTGAGGCAGACGACGATGAGCTTGACATTGACAATATTCCTGGTGCGTAATGATGGCAGCCTCTTTTGGTTTACTTGTCATTGAATTCTTTTTGTTTCAAATGTTGTCATCGGGTTTCATATGTACTCATTGGGTGCTCTTGTCCGCGGTGAATATGGCAGACCTGGGCGATTTTGCCCATGTGCTGGCCGCCAACCGCGAGGAGCGCGAGCGGGCCGCTGAGGCACGGCGCGACGAGTTGCGTAAGGTGTACCTGGCACAACATTCTCAAGAGTTGCAAAGTCAGGAATATCTGCTGGTAAAAATCAAGACGGCAAAGGAAATGGAAGCTGCAGAGCGCGAAGCCGAGAAGACCGCAATCCAGGCGCAGTCCATGGAGCGCGTCAAGGACCTCAAGTTTGACTTTACCTTCTCAAGCGCCTAATGGAGGCATGCCGCGTTTCCCCGTGTTAGCCTGTCGTGATGATGATGCTGTGAAGCTGACCTTGGTTGAACTCATCACATTCCATGTATGTCAACCCCATGGCCACAAGAGTATTCAGAGTCAATTTATTCGTTTGTTTGAAAGTTCTTCCATCATCCTTATTCTTTTTTCTGACGGGCATCAAGTACGGCCGCCGTCATAGCAAATTTTGGTAGCAGTGTTGTGCATGTTCTAAAGTGGCAAGCTTGATGCTGATTTCAAAGTGCAGAATGCGATGCGCGCCCTAATAATGTTTTCGAGCTGAGTCGCGTCGACTGTCAGCAATGGCGAGGCAGGGGAGCGAACAGACGTACGATGGCAGCATCGTATTGGAGGCCAGCTTTGATGATACATCTTCCGGCCTGAATGCCAGATGCTGGAAAATCCAGTTGGCAATTCAGCTCCAGCACGACGCAGTCATCTTGAACAAAGGCCCGCCTGCGCTCGAGTTTAAGTGCAACATTCAAATGATCGGCACGTCAATCAACGAGCACCTGGATCAGTCGGGCTATTCGGCAGTGGCTTTTGCCGCACGACGAAAAATGAGCCTCGCTTACCCTGGTTGAGGATAGGTTAATTTATAGCCGCGGGAGCTAAGCTCCTGGTGCCAGGCACTAAACAACACGGAAAATCACGTAGGTAAGAACCCGTCAAAGATTGTGAGCCAAAAAAAAGAGCGGGATTGGGGGTCCTACATGAGGCTATGACTTCCAGTGTGCGCCTTGCTGCACGTATCGGCCTCAAAGATGAAGCTGACGCGAAAATTGCAATGTGGAAAAGCATCTGACTCGCCGAGGGGGCGCGAAAAATACTGCTCGACAAAATTCTACGCCAAGTGGATGTGCGCCAAAACCAAAGGGAGCGAGGTCCAGGAGCAGGTGAAATCTGATTTGTCAAAGGCCCAAACACAGATGGTTGCATTTGGAAAAAAAAAAAAAAAAAAAAAAAAAAAAAAAAAAAAAAAAACTTGAGCAAGATTCGTACCGAAGCAATCAGGCGGGCCTGGGCAGCCTCCGTGTCCCTGGGTGAGAGTGCCTGTGTTGGGCTTGCATACGACTGAGCTGCTAAAACTTGCGACGCTGGTTCAACCTGAAAAGGTTGGTAGTACTGATGGGGGCGCTCATACGAGGCAGTGTGGGATGCATGCGCATGAACAGGCGTTCCGGGCGAGGTGGCGAAGGACGCCTGTGCTGGAACGGGTGGCTGGGGCGAGGACTGTGGGGTAGCAGAACTTGGCGGGGCGGAGAGCGATCGTTGAGCCGGTCTCGAGGTTGTAGGGCGACGGCTTTGAATGGTTTGTACAATCGTGTCCTCGATGGCCGCTTTGCTGGCGGCAATATCGATTGTCAAGCCGAGATGCTGTCGTTGGGGTCGAGCGCATCAACACCACGAGGATATGGACAGCGATGAGCTGGGGTCGACGGACATTGGAGATCACGATCCAGTCGGTAATAAGGGGGGCACATGCCTGAGCATAGGTGGCAAGGGTTGCCTTTTTTAGTTTCCGGCGGGCGAGGAGCTGGCGCAGATCGGTTGAATTATCAAAGATGGCGTTGATGGCCTCTGCGCAGATGGAAATCGTTGGTGAGCGATCCACAAGGAGGGTGAACAACCCAAAAAGAGGCGCGGAGTGCGCAAGGACGACGCTTGAAGCCACCCATGGATGAACGAGCTGACCTTGCGTGGAAAAGGTGACGACACGGTTGCTGGTGACGGTGCCCAAGAGGTCCTTGAGGTCTTCCTTCGGCAGCAGCTTGAGCAGATCAGATACAACTGTTCAAAGGCACACGCGATACCATGAATGTCAGTGAAGACGACAGCCACGGGGAAGCGACAGCATGGCACGGACGGTGTGCCAGTGATCACAGGGAGAGGCGGGGAGGCGAGGCGGGGGACGTACATGGTCTTTGCCAAGGCTCCATGATGCGCTGGAGGCGGAGACGGATGGATCATCCCTGCAACTGGCGAGGAGTCCGACAGGAAAGGGGGAGCCAACAGAAAATGCATTAACTCGATATTTTGCGTCAATAACTTGGTTTGGATCGATTATGATATCTACACTTTCCTTCTATTTTTGATACTAAAGTACACTGACTCAAGCTTCCAAAGCTTGAAAAGGGCTTAATGAGCAAAAGACGAACGCAGTGACTTCTTAAAAGCAGAGAAAGAGGAGACGAAAGCAGTGACTTCTTGAAAGCAGAGAGAGACGAAAGCAGTGACTTCTTGAAAGCAGAGAAAGAGAGAGAGAGAGAGAGAGAGAGAGAGAGAGAGATTGCAGCGATACCAGCATCAACTCAAACACACACACACACACACACACACACACACACACACACACACACACCAGCTGCAGGGTCAAACTGCTATGGAAGCTTCCTACCTCGCCTATGGCAGCTTCTCACAACGGCTCGTGAGGGCCCGGCCTCCAGGCGTGAGAGGGAAGGGGATCAAGCCCATTGAGGAAGGCTCAAAGGACACGGCGCAACTTGCCAAGACTAAGACGTTGTATTGGCATCAAAAGAATCAAATTTTGGGGGCTTTAACATCCTGCCCATCCGTGCGCTTCCGCTATGCCTCTGGCTCCTTGTCTTCTTTCCCCCTATCCGTCTTCCTTCGTTTTGCGTCCGCTCTGTGTCGGTGCTCCCTGCGCCCCGCCCTGTTCCCGCTGGTCTCTTCCGCGTTTTTATTTTTATTTTATTTTTATTCATTTTTTATTTTTTTTTTGAATCAAGTGCCAAGCAAGACAGCAGAATAAGACGGATGGAGGCTGGTGGGTTGGACGCCATTAAGCAGCGGAACCAGTCGAGACGGACGGTGACGTGAACGATTCGGAACTCAGTGGCAAGATTTAGATGGGTAGGTCACATCAAAGCTTCTTCTAATAATGGCTGTCCGCCCAACAACTGCAGCTTCTCGAAGAAGACGGGTCCCAACTAATCGGTAAAATAAACGACTAGGTCGGGGTAAAGCTGCGTGTTGTCAAACACAATGACCTCACGAAAGTCATCGGGCGGAATAGCAATCACCGAGTCATGTCTATGAATAGTGGGGGCAGGCCAATGAGACTGTTGCGAAGCGACGGGCAAGCCCACGTTTGCTCAGCTTGAAAGCCTACTGACCGCTCATTGTTCGGCGCAACCGGTAGCAAAGGTGGAGCCAGCGCTTTTCTCAAAGGCTTCGTGTGGACGTACGCGTGCCCCAATAAAGCCCTTGTGATAATTAGCATGCGCTCGGCCTTTTCACCGGGCTTAGAATATACGTGGCTCTAAGACACCCAGAAAGCAGCAGAAAAAACAGCAAACGCTGTAAGGCGACCATGGACCGTTCAGATGATTGGGTGCGCATCCTACACCACGTACCTTGCCCGGATGGTCGGCGTGGTAAACTCCGAGTCCAAATTGATGGCCACTGCTGCTTCCTGCGAAGCGAACATCCAGACCCAGGCGCACAATCTTGTCGCGCAATTCTTGATCACAAGGGATGCCGTGAAGTAACAAGCGTTCCTGGCAGGGCGTGTCTCTCCACAAGGCTGGTAGACCCGGTAGCGCATCCACTTCAGCCGTGCTAAGCGCAACAAAGTGCTCATGATCAGAAAGACGCCGCAGCATTTCTTGACGCTTGCTGTTGTAGCGCTCCCACAGAACGGGATTTTGCACACGCTCTACGCGCCGTACGTTGATGCTTTGAAGGCATCGCTCACCAACATTTAACTGCGTCAAGAGCTCGGTCACCTAGCCTCGCGATTTGTCCACACGATGAGCGTTGACAAGCAGAGCGTGTTGTTGAAAAGCTCTTGTATGCAAACGACGCACCTCTGGAATGAGCTCAGGAGCATTGCGTAACACATCAATGGCTGGCCCGACTTGGCAAACGGAGACAGCCTGCTGACCCACCAGGGCAGCACTGAGCAGGCTGGGACGTTGCTTTGGATCCGTCGAAAGGAAAGCTCGTACTTCCTTGAACAAATGACTTTTTGAGTCGCAAAGCTGTGAATCATGGGTACAGCATTTGAGAACACGATGAGGTGAGATTAGTACAATAAGAACATCATGGCAGACAGGACCAACCGCAGCCGCCAGATGTGGAAAGTTGCAAGCACGTTTTCCCGATTGCATTGCTTGTGGATCCCAATTGCACTTTTCAACCAGGTGATCCGTAGGAAAACGGGCGGGAGGCACCGTCTGCGGAAACATGTACGTGTTGTAAAGAACGCAGCCAAAAGAAAAGGCGTCCTGTGTTGGGCGTGCGCCGACGTGCCCGTTGCCAAAAAGCCCCTCAGGTGCTATATAGCCATCCGTGCCCGTCAACGCGGTGGCGGTGCAAGGCGACATCGTGGCTTCGGCGGCGGCTTTGGTGATGTCAAAATCGCCCAGGCGCACAACAGGCTCATCCTCTGAGCCGCCCAACATGACGTTGCTCAGCTTCACATCTCGGTGCACCAGGCCCTTGCTGTGCATAAAAGCCAAAGCCGTGCGTAGCTGGGCCATGAGTCTTGCAATCACATTCAAAGTGGCCAGTTGACGCGCCCTGCCAAGCCACTGCTGCAGGTCACCTTGTGCACACCACGGCTGCACCAGGTAGGCACTCGTCTGGCCATCTTTCGCGTCCACAAGCGCTCCGAGGACAGGAATGATATGTGGATGCTCAAGCTGACGCATGGCGCGGAGTTCGCGGAGAAATGTCCGGCACTGATCCTGCTTGTGCTGACGAGCAAAAGCATACTCCTTGACCGCCAAGTCTTGCACGGAGCAATCAGGCAGCGTGGCACGGGCCTTGTACACCTTGTGGTTCTGGTGGTAATGAAGATCGAGATGTCCCAAGGTAGAGAGCGACAACGCCTGATCCACTTCGACCATGGCTTCCAAGATGAGGTTGGCTGGAAGGTCGGACCCAAGCACAGTTCGGAGGCGCGCTCCCAACGTGCTCTGCTCAGGGTGCAAAAACACTAACAGGGCTGGGAAGTGTTGATACAGTAATTGTGCCAGTTGCGCGACATGGTCCACGTATGGTTTAGCCGATAATTGTTCTTGCAGAATGGCACGGCTTTGTCGATTCTCCTGCAGCTTCTGTTGAAGACTCGGGCGAAAATCTTCAGGCACAAGCTGTAATGCCGAGCTGATCTTTTGAATCTCACTTTCCAGTTTTGTCAGTTCTTCGTGGGCAGCCAAGGACTCATCGTCCACGCCTTGAGTCAAGCTGTTCACATGCCGCATGCACGCGGTCAGCACGGACAGCGTTGTGGCTTGCCAGTCGATCATGTCCTGCAGCTGCTGCATCAGAGCCTGGGACTCGTGGTGCACACAGGTCAGATACCAGGCTTGGTGCTCATAATTTGTTGGCGCTTGCCACCGGGCGAGCTCGCCCAAGCTGTTCAGCTCCGCTTGGCCCAGCTCGCGGTGTGCCTGGCAAAGACGTTCCCAGGCCTCCGACAATGCTTCGGCCGCAGGTGCCTGGCCCACTTGAAGACCTTGCGCACGCCGATGCAGGCTGTCCACGCGATACATCGTACCGTCGCTTCCTGCACGAGCCAGATCACCAAGCGCTTGGGTGAAGGCCTGCGTGAGGTGCCTCAGCTTATCGTCGGTCCTCTTGAGCAGGCTCAAGTGCTCGGGTCTTGCAGCTTGCAGGGCAATCAGTGTGTCAATAATTGCAACAAGACCGTCAGGTGCAGTATCAGGTGCAGATTCAGGTGCAACCGGCGACTGAGGGCACTTTGCCAGCGCGTTGCAGAGGGGTTCTAGTACTGGTTGGAGCTCCAAATTGCTTGCAAGGTGATAAAGATCCTGTAGCATTGATTGAAGAGTATCGGCCTTTGAATCCGGTTGGTTCAAGCGGCTGTGGAGTGCTTCAAAGGCTTGGAGCGCTTGGCCGAGAGCGGTAATGCCGTTTTCACAGCCGGCTCTTAAGTTGCTCCACTCCATAGCAGGCAGGTCCGGAGGTGCCTCATTAATAAGCTTTTTAATTTTAGCACCTTCGCTTGTCAGTCCAGGGTTATGGTGGCCGGCACCGGTAACAAAAGCGTTGAGATGAGGAAAAGGGTGGATCGTGGCGTCCTCAGGCAAGAGCCGCTCGAAGTGGGTGGTAAGGGTCTCAACTACGGGGGGTGTAGTCTGCAGGTCAAGAACGAATCATACGTGCTTCAGATTTGTTGAACGAAGTAAAGTTGCAAGGTGACAAAGAGCTGCGGAGAGGCTCACCTCCAGAGTTGGCATGAGTGTAGGTAAAGGTGGCAGCCAACCAGTAGGTATGAGTGTCTGTTCAGGCGCAGTGGGTGTCTGGTCCAGATGTGCGAGCTGCTCTTGGTGGGCTGTGAATTTCAACGCAAGCTCCTCACCGTGCCCAAATTGATGTGCGACGTCAATGGGCGTCTTTCCTCGCTGAAAACACAATATGAGAAGCACCATGAGAGAGCGTCACGGACGGCTGGTGTGTACTCAAACAAGAAACTGAAGCTGAAAAATTTGTGAAGATCTGAGGGCACACATGTATGATTGGGCTCAAGAGTAGTGGACTGCGGGGCGGGCGGATGGTGCAAAAGTCTGGAAGGATTGCGGCCATGTAACAGGCGTACTTATTGGTGAATATGCGAATGGCAATACCCACCTTGTTTTTAGCATTGAAGTTTGCGCCATACTCTAACAGGATATCTACTACTTCCCTGTGTCCATTTTTGCAGGCCCAGTGCATCGGTGTCCAACCATTCTGGGCACCCGGCACGATGAGTCGGGCATACATTGCGGACACAGCGTTGATGGAGAGATCAAGACATTCGCATTGTACTCACGTTATTTTGGGCCTCCGTGTCAGCGCCATATTCCAACAGGATTTCCACCACCTCCACATGATTGTTCGAGCAAGCCATGTGTAAAGGTGTTGAGCCAATCTGTATCATGGCCACACAGGCAACATGATATTATTATTGGTATCAGCCTTGATCATATCAAGAGGAAAGCCATTTGAGAAGAGATTGATGTGGGTCGAACAAACGTTGTTTTTGGCTTCAGCATCGGCGCCATGCTCCAGCAAAATCTCCACTGCTTGCACGTGACCGTAAATGCAAGCATTATGCAGTGGTGTAAAGCCATCCTAAACGTCGATTCGATATCCAAAAACAAACTGAGCAAGACCGCACGGTGCTTTCATTATGACTTTTTTTTTTTACTCATTGGCAGCCCGACGCCATTACAGCAGGCACGAGGCACAGCCTCGTAGGTAATTGGCCCGCCTGCACAATAACAAGCAAGGTTTTTGCGAAAGATGCGCATAAATCGGACCTCGTTGATGTACGTA